GAGAGAGAGAGAGAGAGAGAGAGCGGGAGGTTGCCGCTTGATCACCAGTGTTGCCAATTTAGCAATTTTGTTGCTAGATTTAGCAAATTTTCAGACTACCCTAGCAACTTTTCAAAAGCGCTTGCTAACTGGAGCTGCTTCAGTGCAGTGTTGCCAGCTTAGCAATTTTGTTGCTAAATTTAGCAACTTTTCAGACTACCCTAGCAACATTTTCTTCCAAAATCACCTAGCAACAAATTTAGCTATTTTTAAAAAGTTTTTGGCAACTTTTAGCAACTTTTGTAAAGTGACGCAAATGATAAAAAATACATATTTTCATCTAAATTACACAAAAAGAGGAAACCATTGAACAGCTATCCAGCCAAGCAGCACATCAACCTGGAGAGAGCTAGAGAAATAGTACAAACAAATGTGCATTAAGTTGCTAGTTCCAATTGGTCAATAATAAATGCACATTTATGATACAGCATGTTATTAGCTTGTAATTGTTGTTCAGTTAGGTACACTAAGAAAAAATATGTGGGAAAAACTGAAAAAGTACTATTCATTTTCTGCCAGGATGTTATCCATTAAGTTGTAACCTGTAACCTTAAAACACAAAATGCAATGTGGAATTTAAAACACAGGTAAAACACCTGTAAAAAATAAATACGTATTGTCCCTTCATATAAACAGTACATTGTGTCCTATTTTTATAGATTTTGTGTAGCACACTAATGAACTAGTACACTGCTTAAAACTATAATTGTTCAGAATGTGCAGTTTTACTAGTTAATAAGAAAATACATAAAATGTGTAACTGTTCAATAATTCAATGTTGTAAAAAATCAGATCATAAAGATGTGCTACTTATGTTACTTTTACAAATTAAAATATTTTATGTTTATAATATTTTTATGAACAAATAACATTTAAAAATATTTTTCGCTGAGATTTGAGTAATCGTTCTGTATTCCACATAAAAACGCTGTTTTGTGTAGTGGTTATGCAATGACGTCATCACGCAACGACAACATCATTTAGGTGTGTTTTGAAGTAATCTCGTTGTGTATTCTACGTAAAAACTCTGTTTTGTGTCATGGTTATGCAATGACGTCATCACGCAATGACATCACAACATCATTTAGCAACTTTTAGCAACAAATCAATCTGCCTTTAGCAACTTCCCCTGAAAATTAGTTGGCAACACTGTTGATCACACCACGGAGACCCGAGACCCGAGGAAAAACTGGGATTAAAGTCCAAAACCTGACTTGAAATAACCTAACAAATCAATCTAATTAAATTCACACAATCTCACTAATTTGTGCACGCTTAATCTTAAACAGACCTTAATGTCAATCATGATTGATTTCTCCTCAATAAACTGTTTCTCAAGCGCGTCCTCTCATCACCACTGCTGCTGCGTGAATATGACGCATCACAACACCACGGAGACCCGAGGAAAAACTGGGATTAAAATCCAAAACCTGATTTGAAATAACCTAACAAATCAATAGGGGCTAAAGCGGTTCAATTAACGACAAATTAAATTCACATTCCCTCACTAATTTGTGCACGCTTATTCTTAAGCAGACCTTAATGTCGAATCATGGATCAAATCGATCCACCATGACAAACAGCGAATATATTCGTGCTGACATGTCACAGGTATATTTTTTACCTGTAAATGTTAGAAAGTCTTGCAAACATATCCATTTTGCTGTCAGGAGTGGGCGAGGCTGACGCGAGTGAACCAGGAGTGAACGAGCGCTGCTGCGCGCATGCGCACTAAACAGATTGAGCGCAATAATCCCGAGTAAAATATACATTTTGCAAAAAAATTGTTTTTGGACATTAAATGTGACTTTTGTAGAATTTTAAACCTTCATATAAAGTATATTTTTATGATAGCAGTAACTGTAAGTGGACTATTGTAGTAGGTAAATCAAATGTAAGCTAGTAGGCTACAGTACTAATTACTAAACTCAAATGAGTTAATGTGTGTTTCTCATAGCAGTTAAAATGTAGTAATTTTCTTTATTATTTATTTTCATTTTTAATTCAGTGATTTTAACTTTTAATCTAGTTATTTTAATGCTTTAAAGAGCAATTTTAGATTGTAATGTTCTGCTATCTGTTCTGCAAACTATAAAAGGTGC